TTGGCAAACCTGCTGCTGCTGCTGCTACTGCGGCTACTGCTGCCTGACGGTCAGCAGTCGCTGCTGCGCTTTCATAGACTGGGGCGGAAGCGGGGTCCTTGTCGTGAGCTGCACTCCTTGCTGCTGCTGATGCTGCTGTTGCTGTTGCTGCTGTTGCTGCTGCCGCTGTTGCTGCTTGTGTTGTTGCTGCTTGTGTTGTTGCTGCTGTTGTTGTTGCTGCTGCTGCTGCTGCGTGGCTTCGCGGTCGTTGCTGCGAACGGCTGCTGTGAAGCTGGCGGAAGCTGCGTCGGGATGACAAGGCCACTAAGCACAGCAGCAGCAGCAACAGCAGCAGCAGCAACAGCAGCAGCAGCAGCACAAACTCATTTCGAATAAACAATCCTTTCATGTGGCGGCAGTGCAGAGCTACGAAACTGATGCTGCTGCTCTTTCTGCTTCTGTTGCTGCTGCTTTTGCTGTTGCGTACCGCCGTCTCGTGCCCACGCCGCAAGAAGCTTCCCCTGCAGCAGCAGCAGCAGCAGCAGCAGCAGACACACAGAGAGTCCCTCTGTGTGTGTGTGTTTCTAAACCTTCCAATTTCCTACTAGGTTTCGCCGCGGACCCGTAGAGGGCCCCATATTGAGGGTTTAGGGTTTGAATTGACGAGGGTTTAGGGTTTGAGGCTGCTAGGGTTTAGGGTTTGAGCTAGCCGGGGTTTCGCATTTGACATTGTTAGGGTTTGCGGTTTGAGCCAGCAAGGGTTTAGGGTTTGGCACTGCAAGGGTTTAACGCTTGAAATAGCTAGGGTTTAGGGCTTGAGTTAGCTAGGGTTTAGGGCTTGAGCTAGCTAGGGTTTAGGGTTTAGGGTTTAGGGCTTACGGGCCTCCACCGCCGCTTCCGCTCTATGCGGCGCTCCAGCCGCTGCCGCAGAGCAGCAACTCTCCCTGTGGGCAGCTGCGCCACCGAGGCCGTAGGCTGCAGCGGCAGCAGCAGCAGCAGCAGCAGCAGCAGCAGCGACAGGGGACGTTTTTAAGGGCACAGCACGGGTTAAGCTGCAAAATCCTGCGCAAAAGGGGGCTTCGTACGTGGGGTTTAGCGCACAGGGTTTAGGGTTTAGGGTTTAGGGTTTACTCGTCGCCGCCGCTTCCCCTGCCGGTCGCTGCTGCTGTCTTCAGAATCTAAACGAAACGTTGAAGGGCCAGGGGCCCCCAGGGGCCCCTGGGGGCCCCCTGGGGACCCCTGGGGGCCCCCCAGGGGCCCCCGGGGGGCC